TGCAATAAGATGTATTGATACAGTCCCTGCGGTGCGTATATGGTAGTGAATTCCCGGCATGCAGGAACGAGAAGATTTAGAAGATATGAGTACAGTTTCCCAGCAACGAATTTGAATGGAGAGACTAAAAACAAAGTTCTGGCGCTACCCTGGTGCCAAATGTGTTCCATGAGTGATTTTCAACGCAATCTTTTGTCGCCTATGATTCTGTTACTTTTGACGATACAATAATGTTAATATAAGAAGCATTATACACGTGTACAGATGCAGTGAAATGATCCAGGATACATTGTGCAAACCTGTGTTTCTGTTTCCTCCATTCGAAAACATTCTTTCTATTTTTGAAGCTAACAGAGATTTGCGCCTTATCATTTTCATTCAATGGACCGTTTTAAATATTCGTTGTACCGTCTGCAGCGAAACATTCATATCAAACTCCGTTTTCATCTCCGATGCATGACTCAGAGAGGCCATTCGTAGCAATCTGTGCTTATCTTTCTCCGTGAGGTTCTCCTGGGTTCCCATTCGTTTATGGCTGGTTTTAGCTGATTCTGCTTTGAATATCGTGCCACCGTGTGATTCGGACCTACGGCATCCTCTGGCTATCTTATGTGTGCTGACATCGGTTTTTCGAAAGGTTTCACTTCTGAATTTCTCGTAAACAGTAAGCTTATTCCCCCACAACATGATTGGCTATGTTGTGTTTTTTCGATATATTTTCGTTAAAGTGTCAAGAGATGAAATTTCGTATATCCGCTTCTCATTTTATTACTGTTCAGATTCCCCAAAATTGATGATGATCGTGCATACACGATCAAAGGTAAACTCAAACCCAAGGAAGGGTGAGCAGTGAAATACTTTCATCGCTGCGTTTACACGTTGAGGCCAAGGGAGAATGAATAATGGAAGTCCGCTTTACCTACACACTAGATAATTATCAATAATGAGAACAAGTAACGAAAGTAACGTAGCTTTCGTCAATGTCGTTTATTTTTTTCACTTGTTTCTTAGAATATCCGATGGGCACGAAATAGCAGGAGAATGACTGTATATACATACACGCGATAGTATTTTTGATTATCACGCTACATTCAAAACCATATTTGTCTTTCACCTGCCATTATCAAAAACATTCTGAAGTAGAAGTAAAACTATATAACCCCAGATTACTGTGAAACGACTGAAATAAAGTGCTGTTCACTGTGTTACAGATAGACAGTGACTACACGAAGAGCGCATCAATAAAAGAATATGTGCTCATCCGTTCATCTTTTGGAGGTTGTGATTGCCAACTATTTACACTCAGATTCAGAGACGACTGCACTTTAGCTAAGGTGACCTGGAACCGTAACCCATGTAAGTGAACCACCTTGTTTGGGCAGAATTCACCAAACATCAGCTAGTTTGACGACCATTCTTCAAAATGAAACATATCACCTTGTTGACAAATTACTCTTTGCTTTCGATGACACAAAAGCCGAATACAGACAAACTCGAAGAGTCTACAAACATAACTTGAGTGTTCAGTCATTGATCACTTCTGCTCGTCTTGATTGTGATTCACACTGCACGTTGTCGTTCCCAGGGGCTTTGCCATCTTCCTCCGGTTTATTCGAACTATCACCGTCAACTTGTTTGTCCCGTTTCGAGGAAAGGGTGCGAATACAAATCATTGATTTCGGCTTGAGGTTAGCCGTACGCGTCAGGTGAAAGCGTTCATGTTGTCCATTGTAATGTCGCAAACTTTGGATCCCACGCCATGCGGCAAACACAATTAGACATTCGATTTGTGTGCTAAGGTGCTCATCTTTGATCAAAGGCAAAACATATTTTTGTGAGTGTTTCAGAACAAACGTTTGAAAGACAAAATCACACTGATCCATTGATCATAACATTGAAGAACAGCTCGGCAACCGTGATAAATTGACATTGGAGAATATCGCGGCTTTGTTATAGCAAGAGACGTTATCCATAAATAGTAAACTAGAGCGTCTTTGAGAAATCAACTTGTGGTTGACATCGGACAGCTAACTGTGAAATAACGCAGAAGTCATCCATGGGTTCTTTCAAGAATTATGACAAAGGAAGAATGGTTCTATCTATACCTCGGATATATTGTGGAGTTACATATTTTCCAATAATCAACGGTGATAATGCTTCTCCAGTTGTGCTCCAACGAAGTAATAAACTAATTTCTTGGATCCAGAAACTGCTTTTCTTTTGAAACTTAATGTTCTTTCTGAGAGCTGCTCGTAAGACAAGGCTGTTTTGCCTGCATTGAAAATATCACAGTTAGCTATCAATGGATCATCTGCGGTAACCTCGTTCGATACTAGTCTACTGCATCACGTAGTACCGCCGAACATTCCCCTGAAACATATCAAAGTCAAAGTCAAATTTTTATTATGGGAATAGCTTACAAGCTGGTGCTTCTCTTGCCCCATAGGATATTTACACAGATGAATCGTTACACATCGAAAAAGGAGTCGCATAGAGATCCAGGTAGGAGATAGAAAATGTAGGCTACAGTGAATTTCCGTTTGC